GGCAGTGGCGGAGGAAGGTCCCTGGCTGGCAGCCTGCCCGCTGAAACGTCCCGGCAGGAGCGCGGACGCGGCCCCGGCTCCCGGAGCCGCGGAAGCAAGGCCAGCGTCCCAGTGCCCCCGGCACCGCGGCTGCAGCGGACGGACAGTGAATAAATAGGACAAGAGCACCAGACTGGGCGAGGCGGCGTCTGCGCCGGCTCCGGAGCCGCGGTCTTCCCCAGCATGTCTGCCCGTCCCGGCAGGGGCAGCGGGGAGAAGGTGAACCGAGAGGTAGGGGACATCCGGACAGAGCCTGGCGCCGTCCTGGTCCCGTGAGGCTGCTGGGGTGGGTCGGCACCGTCCTCCGGAGGCAGCCAGGGCCGTCTGCGTCACAGCTCGTCGTGCGGGATGTGGAGCGCGTGGTCGCACAGGTCTGCGGCGACAAAGGGCAGCGCTCTCAGGACGCGGCAGAGCCCCGTGGAACCCCTCCCCGGCAGCGCATCCCTTCCCGCTTGTCCCCACCAGCAGCGTGGGGACAAGCCATGTGCAGAGTGCCTGGCCAGGCGCAGCCGTGACCCGCGCCAGGGGACACCTACACTTCCCCTTCGCTTTGTTCTGTGGTTAATCAGAAACGCGGCTGTTTGGACAGAGCTGCCAGCCTGTCGTTTCCCCGGCTCCAGCACCCGCAGCCACCCGGCAGATCCACACCAGCCTGGGACAGGCAGGGTGCAGGCAGTGGGGGCAGGCTGAGCCACAGGAGCGGCCGGCAGCACCGCGGGACCCCCCCGGAACCCCCCTGGGGAAGGAGCGTTTCCCCCGACACGCGTGCCAGCTACCGAAGGGACCCGCCCTGGCCTGGCCCTGGGGTGCAGGTAACGAACGTGGGCCACGTTCATTAATAGGGAAGCACAAAGGTCGCGGCGTGCCCTGACCCCGGTGTTTGCGAGCTGGAAATAGCCCTGCAGGAAGGGAGACGCCGTGGGGCAGGCGCCCGGTCATTGGCTGCGCGAGGAGCCCTGCGCCGGAGCAGCCCGGCGCGGCAGCTGCCCTGGCTCGGCCCCAGGCAGCGTGCGCCTGGCCGGGGAGAACATCCAAAAAAAGCCGCAGGCAGCTCCAGCAGGCAGCGGGGTCCAGGCGCTGGGCTGGCAGCACGGGCAGCAGGGAGGCGCACCCCGGCACCGGGCTGCCGGAGAGGGGCTGCTCCACGGGGCTGAGGGATGTCGGGATTCGGGGAGGACTCGGAGCTCCTGTGCGTCCTCCCTGCTCTGGGCCGGCAGTTCCTCCCACTGACAGAGCAGCTACGACTCCCCCCGGCAGCAGGAGAGACCCCTCCCCGAGACAGCCCAGCCCAGCTCACCCGTCCGCTTGCTGCAGAGCCGGTCCTTGACATTGTCAGCCTCGTGGGAGAGGAATTCGATGAGTTCGTCCTCGTACTCCTCGGCGATGCTCTCGCACTGCAACGGGAGCCGCCCGTGGGTCAGCCAGCAACCGCGCAGGTGCCAGGCAATGCCGACAGCACCCAGGG